TCGTGGTTAGCCGTAAGCAATTGTAAATGTAGGACTACCTTACACTTAAGTTAAATAAGAAGAATAATAATATTTATTCAGATTTTATTACAGAAAATATCAAGTTTTATGGAAAGATTGTTGAGAATTATGTATTTATTTACATAACAAATAAATAAAAATCATATAAATTTTGATGTTATATTCGATTTTGTAGAGGTACTGACGTCGTAAATCAACCCGCACGCTTTTTACTATATGTAAACAAAAAGCAAACAAGAGAAATAACACAAGAAAATAACTTTTCATAACAGGTACAATATTTATATTAGGTTGGTGCAAAAACAATGTCGTTTTTTGACGTTCAACTTAACGTCAAAAATGACATTATTTTTGCACCAACCTAATATTTATATATGTCAACGGTTTTACATGGATTGTTAATATGAGTTACTTCCCTTTGACTGGGTTAAAGTCTTTACTACTGAAATATATATATTTACTAAGACGCAAATTAATTAGAGTTTTTTTTTATGTTAGCATGGTATGTTTGTTTAGCGGCATATCAACTCCTTATGCCGAAATTTAATATTCTTGGAAGCATTAGTAATTTCTTTTACAAAAATGTATTTCTGGTAATATATTTTTTTTCTCACAGGAATATATTACCGGTGAATTTTTTTTTTTACTGTGAAATGTATTGCTGGTATTTTTATTATAAAATTTTTTATACATTCATAGAGTTTATGACACCAGTTTGTGGGGTTAACTATTTGCCTATAGCCAAGACCCTGTTGTACTACTACCCAGAGTCAGGGTGGATCTGGGAATAACAGAAATTAAGAGGTGGTTCCATGACCCTCGAAACCTCCTGATGAGAGGCTTTGGTTGGTAGTTTATTGCTACAACCAGGGCGGACGCTGTCTATAAACAATAAATAACCAAGCCATTGTAACAAATAATCTTGAAATGCATGATCCAGATATGTAATGGGAAATGTAATCCATATACTTGAGTAGATATAGATTCGTTATTCTGAGGCCTGTCTATCTAAGAGAAGAAAACCCTGATTCCATATCTCTGCCCCAGATTATAGACAATAATGGAAAAGCTTCAGGAGTATAATGAGATACGGAGCCTGTGTTCTAAAGACAGTTCAATGTTGCATGTAAACTTGTTCTTGTAACTTCAGCGTACTTCAGTCTGACAGAAGGCCACAGAATTAGAGTACATAGTGAGTATCGAGCTCACTAAAAATTTTCTGCAACTCTCGCTTGCTAACAATCACTCTGGACAGGCATCCAACTTATAATGGTGGAAAAACTCTCTATGCTGGAAATAATTCTACTCGAAGAATAGTTTACTCGACAAGCATTTCAGACATTGTGCTACGGTAGGAACGTCAAAAAATCTCAAAATATGAATGAAAAAATATTTAAAATATAATTTTCATACACGTAATAATAAATAATTAAAGGGGAACAACCCTTTTTTAGCTCCGCGCAAATAAATGTAAGGGAGATTACTCTGATTTTACTATGTAAAATTCAACCGACGATAACCTTGGAAATGTAATTCATTAAGTTTCCTTCTTATTTCAAGTTAATTAATTGAAAAAAAAAACCCTAGATGAATAAATTATTATATAAAGTTTTGCTGCCATATAATTTATGCGATATTTAAAAAAATTAAACCGAGTTCTCAGTCGATTGACTATTATCCGTACTATTAAATAGCAAAATGAAAATTTTCGTTGAATTCTATTTTTGTGTGGAAAATCCGAAATGACATGGCGTTCCACAAATGGAAAATTTCAGTAAGCACTGGGAAGGTTTCTAGATGATGTGCAACTGTTGTAAATGACCTCATCTGCCCTAGGTGGATTTCCCCAGCCCAGCTTCGTAGCCTATGTTGGCGCCAGGTTTTTTCTTAAAGAACGTAACAGCAGCATCGCCTTTATTCTCATTCGATTTCACTCTAAAGGAATATTTTTGTTTGATTTTTTTTTTCAAACAAAATATTTTAGATATCCATTTAAAACAATTCGTAAATAAGAATCCCATTACTTAACTCGTCACTTCCATGAGACTATTCAATTAAGTATATGCAATAAACATTTAAGAAGAAGAAGAAGAAGTTTTAACTCGTGCAGATTTCACGATTTTCCTATGTGAAATTTCTGATGAATCTTCATTCTTCAATTAATGATTGAATAAGCTCATGGCGAGTTTTACGACAATAAAATATGAGTAGAAATTCCCCTACGGCGTCGTTAAATATTTGAACTTAACAAAATTAATAAAATATTGCAATAACAATCATAAATATGAATGCTGGTCGCTATTTTAAGAAGTGAGGAGGTACGAATGAAAAGATTTGAAACTGACTTATTCTATTTCACTGAAACAGACGTTAAACACTTCTGTCTTCCCTTCTTTCTTTCTTTCATTGTCTCACTGAAACCAAGTAGCAACTTTGATACACCTTTCTGTCTTTCCCCATGATCAAAATGGAATACTCCATTATTTATGAGGTATTAACAGGAAGCATTAAACACTTCTATCTCTCTTTCTTTTTTTTCCATTGAAACGAAGTAGTGACTGTAATATGTCTTGTTTTTCCACGTGATCAAAATGGAATAGTTCATTATTTATTGATGTATTGGAAGGACGTAATGGTCATGCGAACTAATGAAGGAAGAGACATGCACAATTATTATATGATTCTTTATTAATGGAGGGAAAGATGATGTTTTAGTGTTTATGATGTTGCTGTTCTATAAAACAAATAACTTGGGAAATATTACAATCCTTGGATATGTGTAGTATACAAACTGATGAGAGGAATAGAAAGACAGCAGCTATTGTCCATGAAATTGGTGACCTTTTACATGCATGAGGAGTAATACATTCATAGAAATTCCCCTCGCATCGTTAAATATTTGAGCTTAACAACTTTAATAAAATATTGCAATAACAATCATAAATATGAATGCTGGTCGCTATTTTAAGAAGTAAGGAGGTACGAATGAAAAGATTTGAAATTGACTTTTTCTATTTCACTGAAACAGACGTTAAACACTTCTGTCTCCACTTCTTTCTTTCATTTTCTCACTGAAACCAAGTAGCGTCTTTGATATGTCGTTTTTCTTCTCACGCGATCAAAACGGAATAGTCCATTATTTATGAGGTATTGGTAGGACATAACGGTCGTGTGAGCTACCGAAGGGATGGAAAAGCACAATGATTATATTATTATATTAGCAGCAGCAGCAGCAGCCAACGTCACTGTTGGTACGCCGCTCTCTCTTCCGACAACAGGCATCATGAATCATGAAATTAGAATAACTTAAAAAATATTGTTGTAGTTCGCCAGATAATTTATTTACGTTTTTATCGATGATTACGTTTTCTTTATTTTTATTATTATTGTTTGTTATGCACTATTATATCGATAATGTTATCATTATCTTTGACCTTCCTTTTTTTATTATGGAAGTCGTATGATAGCTTCGTTGGCGAACCATTCAAAAGGTCAAAAGATAACGAAAGAACAACACGCAAATGTGAGCTATGAATGTACTATATGAAAACATTACAAATAAAACGTTTTATTTCTTTTTACATTAACATTCACCCTGGGACCGCTCGAGGAAGACGGTTACATTAAGGGTTAGTTTCTACGGATAGGAGCGGAAGATAATGGTTAACTATGGACTTGAACAGGTTAAGATTGTAGTCATCGGGGAAACATCCTATTGAAAGTCGATTCCACAGAGCAGTCGTTCGCGGGAAGAAGCTGTTTGAATGGAACTTAATTTTAACCGATGGAATACAGAGATAATGTGGTCGGTTTGCTACAATGTAGGTGACCTGGCAGGTCCTAACCGTGAAGATTAGACCTGGCGGGGTCAAGGAATGTGGTTCGCCCGAACATATATATATATATATATATATATATATATATATATATATATATATATATATATATATATATATATATAGAGAGAGAGAGAGAGAGAGAGAGATTGGAGGATGGAAAATAATTCTTCTCCAACAAGGTTCGGAGACGCTTTTAAATTCTATCAAGACCAGAAAGTGAGGAGTGGGCCGCACGCGCCCAATTATGCCAGCAGTACCGCATTCTCAGCCTGATCTGGCTATTATAAAGTAGGTTATATCACGAGGGGTCAGTTACTTACTGGAGTGGTATAGGGAGACGATCATTTTACCTGCATCTTTTGCGATGGACCGTATATAAGAGTTCCACTTGAGGTCGAGTGTAAGACTGAGGCGCAATATTCTCTCATGTCACGGTGCATTGTCGAGGGGTCATCCGTTCATCGTGACTGGCGGTAGTTCGGGGTCTGATTAACGGTGATGCAATGTAACGCTTTCGTTTCTTTTGACAACCCGGACTAACTTCTGAATGAAAAACTGAAACACTTACGCAACGCACCGAATATAGAGAGAGCAATGGAATTTAGATCTGAATATTTTGAGGTTTAACATAGTAGTCTTCCATTATCCGCGGTTTCTCTTACCCGTAGTTAATAAAAGATCTATACATTTTGCTTAACGATAATTGTAAAGTTTAATGGCTGTGATACTGGAAATTTGCTTATTCCAAAAGAGGCTTTAAATTGAGACTGAAGTGATCTGCGGTCAAAACGAATCTTCCGTCCCTGACATAAATTTTTATTATACTTCACAAGCACAGTATATACGTAAAAAAATAACATAATAATATTGATTGTCTGATTTGTTTTTTTTTTACGGCTTATCAACCTTTTGCAACATTTTTTTTAATCCAGAAAATATTCTTAGATTGTAAAACATTTTTGGAAATAATGATATATTTTTTTATTGATACAAGTTCTACTAATTAACTCATAGCTGGGGGTAGGGGGGTTGGATTCATGCCTTTGCTAAGTGAATCTAATGAACTCGACTTGAATTGGAACTCGCCTCTCCGATTTCCATTTCCGAGCCGTTACCAATTACACCGCCCGCACATACAAGCATACAACACATGGCATTCCCAAGTGGTCACCCATCTAGGTGCTGATCAGGCTTAACGTTGCTTAAAGTCGGTGATCATTCGGGAACAGGTGTTTGATCGTAAGCCTGAACATAATAATAATGATAAAAATTAAGTTAATAAATGTCAAAATAAGTAAATTATCAATGAGGTTATTTTACGCATAGATCGGCACACCTTAAATCCAAAGTATCTGTGGATTCGACCAAGGATCACAGTGTTGCATCTCTTCTCGCCTCTCTTTGCCTAGAGATCAAAGCTTGATATCAGCGCTATTTACCGAAGATAAGTGTTGCGTCTTGGAACATCTTCGGATAAAAGCGCATGTTTCCTGGCCTTCGAGTCAGGATCAAAGTGTAGTATCGGATAGTCACCTCTCCGTTGTATTTCTGACATTGGACACTTCAGGTTTGGTTTAGTTTGGTTTATTTTACGGCATATCAACCTCATTGGGTTATTTAATGCCGACAAGATTTTTATTGGTGGCAATTTCTTTTTTTCAAAAATGTAATGCTAGTAATTATCTTCCTTGAAAAATTTATAGCTGGTAATAATTTTTTTTATAGAGTATTTCTGGTATTAAAAACTATTTTTACACATTCACAGTATTTTGACCTTAGTTTGGGGATTAACTATTTGCCCATAGCTGGGACCCTAACAGGTGTTACTACCCCGGGTCAGGGTAGACCTGGAAACACCAGCGATTAAGAGGTGGTTCCACGCTCCTCAAAACCTCCTGAGCGGAAGCCTTGCTATTGGACGTAGTTTATCGTTCTTATTCAGGACGCGACACTTCATGAAATAAAGTTTTGAGAAATGTCTAGTCCCTGGGATTCCAACTCTACGGCAACAACTCCCTCATTGTACTAAACAGAAAGTGTTGGTGGATATCAAAACCAATGTGAAAGTAGTCGTGATGACTGAGCAATCAATTTTTATCTCTGGCCCATATGCGCGCGTTTGGGCACACCGCATTAAAACGACCTTGTCTAACAAGGTCGTTTTAATGCGGTGACCAAGGTCGCCAACGCAAATAACAGATCAGATCGCACGCTCCCCGGCCTTAGAATGGTGGTGGTGGTGGTGTGTGTGTGTGGGGGGGAATAAACTACATTTTATCTCTCAATTGTCTTTCTGCCTTCGGGCAAAGCGCAACTCAGTTGTTGCTTTGTCTTCGGGCAGAGCGCAAGTGAAAATATTATTGAGAGATGCCCCGTCTTGGGGAACAGCAGACCGCGCTCAGGACCTGCCTCATTGCACTAAAGCTGGGGATCGGTAGTAACATTCATGTCAGCGCAACCGATGTAGGTACTGACCAGGCCCGACGTGCTTGACTTCGGTGATCTGACAAGAACCGGTGTTTCAACGTGATATGGCCGTAAGACTCTCGTTTGTCATGAAACCTCAATATAACGGATGGCATCAGGTCTGCTTTCACTTTTAATACAGTTCTCTGTATTTAATATCTTTAAATGCGAAGAATCATTTCAGACTGAAAATATTAAGCACCTAACCATTTTTAACACGCTGACTGCCAAAGATCAAAGACGGAATAGGACTTCAATCGCTAAATTAATAATAGCCAAATTAGAAGCTAAAAATTCAAATGTTTGGTTTGCGTGTTATATTTTCAATAAATTTTCCTATAAAATTTTGTTTTTAGTCGGTAGTACTATTTTTCATTGCCTTAGACATCAGGTACAAGTTATTTGCATACTCCCCCCCCCAAAAAAAAACTAATTGAAGCATTTTTCTTTTTAACTCTAAGACTATGCAACCTATCTGTCTGAAGAATTTGATTAATGTTGCGAGCATAACTTTGTTTTGTTTGTTTCGTTTTGTTTTCGTTTTATCAACCACAATGCGTTATTTAATGCCAACAATTTTTATTGCTGGTAATATTTTTCTTCTTCAAAAATATATTTCTGGTAATATTTTCTTATTCAAAAATGTATCGATGGTAATATTTTTTCAAAAAAATATATTGCGGGTAATAATTTTTTTACAACGTATTTCTGCTATTAAAAACTATTTTTACACTTTCATAGTGTTTGGAACCTAGTTTGGGTGTTAACTATTTACCCATAGGTAGGACCCTAATAGGTGCTTCCACCCCGGGTCAAGGAACACCAGAAATTAAGAGTTGGTTCCATACTCCTCAAAGCCTTGCTGTTGGATGTAGTTTATCGTCTTACCCAGGACGCGGAACTTTGTAACTTCCAACCAAGTGACACTTGCCCCTGAAAGTTTTCGTTTATTTAGTTGTTTATTTTGTCTCATTTGGGTCAGTGAGTAACCTATTTGAAGATCTTCGCATGAGTTTTGGATTATGAATTTTTAAAAAATTAAAATCAAGTCCGAAAATTTGGCTGAGTCGTAAAAGTTGACGGAAAATGCGGCACAGAAATCCAAAGGTACATAACAGTAGTAAAAGATGCTTTTCCAAAGCTGAGCAAGGAATTAAAGGAAAACCTTTTTCAAAAGCAAACACACGTAGAATGGGATGGAATGCTATATAACGTTTAACCTTCTATGCCAGTGAAAGTTACGTCTGTCCGGGGTAAGACGATAAATTAGCAACAGCAAGGCCTCTGGTCAGGAGGTTTTGAGAAGCGTTACCTCTTAATTCCTGGTGTTCACTGGTCCACTCTGACCCGGGTTGGTAGCACCTGTTAGGGTCCTAGATATGGGCAAATAGTTACCCCCCCCTACACCAAAAAAAAAAAAAAAATGTCAAAACACTATGAAAGTATAAAAATAGGTTTTAATATCACCAATACATTTTTGGAAAAAATTTCAACAGCAATACATTTTTGAAAAAATAAAAAAAATAAACACACAACAACATTGTCAGCAATATACTTTAGGAAAAAAAGTGTTTAATTTTTCATACTGGCTTTGTTTTGATGTCTAAAATTCGTAGTTCGTCTGTTGGGATGTTCCTCTTTCAGACAACCATTCTTATTATTGATGCTTAGTCTTTTTTCCTCACTTTGCTTTATTGCTTTCAGTAGTAGTTCCTGGAGTTTCCTCTCAGTGTCTGCACTCAACACAGTATCATCAGCAAATCTTGTGTTAAGATTGTGGCCGCCATATAATAAATACTCGCTGTTAACATTACGTATTTTTGATTTGTTTTACGGTATATCAACTTCAGTGGGTTATTTGATGCCGACAAGATTTTTATTGCTGGTAATATTTTTGTTTGAAAATTTATTGCTGGTAATATTTTTAAAAAAATGTATTGCTGGTAATATTAAATATATTGCTGATAATAATTTTTCATTCAAAAATTAATTGCTGGTAATAAAACCAATTTTTACATGTTTTGACCCCAGTTTGGGGGTTAACTATTTGCCCATAGCTGGAACCCTAACAGATGCTACCATGCCGGGTCAGGTTGGACACCAGCAATGAAGAGGTGGTTCCACACTCCTCAAAACCTCCTGATCAGAGTCCATGCTGTCAAATGTAGTTTATTGTCTTACCCAGGACAGATCTATTTTTTTTTATTATTATTTACGGAATTCATACTCTAGTTAAATCCTTACGGGTGAAACAAAACTCACTTGAAAGTAAAAAGGCGGTCAGATTAAACCTTCAGTCCTGATAAATGTACGTGTTCAACGCTGCACGTTCGTTCTATTTAATATCTTCAAATGCGAAAAAGCATTTCAGACTGAAAATATTATGCATCTAATCAGTTTTAACAAGCTGACTGCCAGAGATCAACGACGGAGCCGGACTTCAATCCCAACTTTATAGTGGTTTTCCAAGCGTAGCTTAGATGTGGCACAAGGCCGACAGTAGGGGGCACCCAGTGAGGATCGAACTCACTATTCAGACGTAACTGACTTAGCGAGAAAAGCTGGCTAACCATTACCCCACGAAGTTCCCAAGTGATTTTCCAATCGTAGCTTAGATGTGGCACAAGGCCAAAAGTATAGGGCTCCCAGTGAGGATCGAAATCACAACTTAGTTTTAATTGTTCTACAGCGAGACATGCTTGTTAACCATTACATTAGGTTCCCAGTCGCCAGCTTTATAATAGCAAATTAGGCGATAAAAATTCAGATGTTTCGTTTACGTGTCATCTCTTCGATAAGTTTAAAAAAGTTTGCTTTTAGTTGCTAGTACGATTTTTCATTGCCTCAGACATCAGGTCCAAGTTATTTGCATGGAAAAATAGAAAAAAAAAAACAAACAAAAAAAACAAAAAACAAACGAGAACAAAAAACACGAAAACCCACACACACAAAACAAAACAAAAAAAAAAAAAAAAAAAAAAAAATGAGAATTTGTGGTCGGTGTCATAACAGCTGCTAATTAAAAAAGTAAATAACCATACCTAAATTTAGACCCCCCCCAAAAAAAACACATTAAAGCATTTTCCTTTTTTAACCAGTCTGAAGAATTTGATGTCATACCTTACAAGTAAGTTTCAGATTCCACATTTATTTTTATTTTAAGGCCCAAGAGACACTCAAGGTAAATGTTTCACTGAAGAAGAATTTTATTTGAGCATAAAGGGGGTAAGAAATAGAGTTTATTATGATATAGGAAATATTGAAGTGTTCAGGGAATCATCATATCGGGAGAGCGTTCCACAAAGTTAAAGGTTATTGGAAAGAAGCTGTCGAAGCTTTTCACCAATGGAACACGAAAAGACGGATTCAATCCTCAGGGCGTGGTATAAGTGGCCTTAGCTGTAGAGGTCCGAACTAGTTAAAGTAAGGAATGCAACCTCGTTTAAAAAGCTTCCATAGAAATAACGATAGCGTAGAGATTTTTAGACTATGGGGGAAATAGCGAAGCCCTGATATGGCAGCAATAATTGTTTTATATATATATATATATATATATATATATAAAAGACATTTTTATGTCTAACATTCTTTTTATAGATACAAGTATTTAAGTAAATGCTCCGTTTTATAATAAACAGTTTTAAATAACATTTACCGGCCTGAATGTCCGAGAAATTTTCATAGAAAATATTCGTCCTTCGACAGGATTCGAACCTGTATCCTATACGGAACCGTCGTATAACCTGACGTGCCTTACAGTTCGGCCACAAAGGATCGTTCGTT